TGAAACTGCATGGGAATGTACGCATGGGAATGTCAATTCATAAAGGTCTGGTCACTTAGTTCAATAATTAAAACAGTATCAGTTTCACGAAATGCCAAGTGGATTTGTTATTTGGCAACAGAAAAGCAAACAGAAAACATCCTGGCTTCAGAAACATAAAATTGAAGGTTTTCCATTTACCGAAGAGACTGATCTTGCCCTTTACAATTTTCTCAGCGATTAAAAAATTACTTCACAGGTTAACAAAAGAAATTTGGTAAGATGACAGAGTTCAAAAAATTAAGGCATTGTTTTAAATATTTAGAAAACTCTTTTTTCGTAAAGTATATATGAAATTTTGTACGTCTTAAATACAGTCGACCCCCCTATAAGATAGAGATACGTTCCATTCTCTAGGAATCCGCTTTCTTAGGAATCCTTCCAATCACAACCCGACACGTGTCAAGTTTACGGACTACGGCTGTTTGAAAGATTTTCTTCCATAAAATTAATCGATTCTAGACTAATCCGACTCAACATTTCCAAAATACGTATATATTTTTTGGGAATAATCCGTATAAACTACGCTATAAACAAAAAATTGTAGGATTACTTACCGAGTGTCACCATTCGACATTGCCATTGCTCAACATTGTTTTCGTCGCGGAACAGCTCAGCAAAGAGCGGCCGATTTCTAACAACTTATTTTTCTGTGAAAACTTCGTAGAACTTCGGAGACATCATTAATATAAATAATTTTAATCGCCGTTGAATAAGAAATGTTTCTTTCACAAGAAATGTATAAAATTACAGTACTGTATTAGACTTACGGTACCTAATTTACATACTGACAGACGATAGTTAGCGTAAAAATCTCCGTAGCGTGGCGCCACGCTAGACGGCGGAAATTATATATTTAATTATAACAAAGTTACAATAAGTTAATATATAATTATATATACAGTACCTAATTTATATATAATTAATATATAATTATATGTACAGTACCTAATTTATATATAATTTATATAATACTGTCCAGACGATAGAAATCTCTCCGTAGCGTGGCGCTACGGACGGCGGGAAAGTAGTTCGGCTTCCTGATGACGTTTGAGGTGTTTATAGGGAACTTTTACTATTTTTTACGGATACCGGTAGCAATTTTTTCGTAGTTTTATAGGAATCGTAACTATAGGGACCGTAATTATAGGGGGGTCGACTGTATAAATATTTATCTACATATTTACGTTAAATTGTAGCTTACAGTGTGTGTTTTAGAAGTTGTGAGTTACATTTCTGTATAATATACAAATTGTCTTTAACTCTTAGTTATGGCTTAGTACCTGATATCTTACTTACATGTGTATTTTCACGCTGTAATTTATGCAAATTTAAATACTGTAAATGAACGTAAACTTACCCTTATCGCAATGTAATAAAAGAAAGGTAAGGTATCATCCATCATGTTTACATCTTTGGAAAACCGATTGAAGATATTACCTATAAATATCGAAATATGATATATTCATTAAATTGCATCATTATTTACAACGTATTTATTATAATATGATTATTATCTATGGAAATTCCACACATATAAATCTACGATCAAAGTTTCGAGGATTAATCTGTTCATGGTTTTCATTTCTGAAACTTTGTGTACTCTGCACGTTTATTGCTACATTCCATTTAATCTTTCATTAATCGCTTTATTTCCTTCCCATAATTACTGGCATGGGTGCGATTCTACTACCATCCATATTAAAAGAAATTCTTTATAATACAAACATTAATTTTATCTTGAACAATTGTGTATTACTTTATATTCATTTTTTTCATGCATGTTGTAATTATGAACAAGTCATCTGTAAAAGATTTTCGAATATATGTTAAGCAAGCAGGTCAAATTAGAATTTGGTGCCTATCACTTTCATAAAAGTGAGATTTCGGATGTCATTCATTCTCTTCTGATGTAACTTTCAAAAACATATCGCAAACAATTATCATTATATGCTGGCACAAAAGAATGACTTACAGTATATGACTATTACTAACCCATATTACTAAGTTTAGTAATTTCTATCGGATATGTATAAAAACACGGTTTAATATTAAAACTCTGGTACGCATAGTTTATGTCAATTTATAAAGATCTGGTCCTCGAGTTTCTGGCAAACTGTTTCTACAGCTATCTTTCTCCTTTTCAGCAATGTTAATTATAATATATGAACACACCTGAATTTTACTTGCCGAGTTTTTTTTCTCTTTATTCAAACGTTTTCAGCCTATTTGGATAGGCCATCCTCAGGCTTTCCTTTATCGTTCCAAAATGGAACCATTCGTTCGAATTTTATATTTATGTAGAATTCATATATTATGATTCTACAGCTTTTGTGCAAGTCTACTACAATGAGCTTACAATAGTTTATCATTAGTCAAGTATTTTCATGGTGTGTTGTTTCCTTGCAATTGAAAGCAAACTGCTCCAAAATGGACATGATATGATTCATTAGGTATTCAATACCTCATTAGAAATGTGACCTCTGTTAGATACCAGGTGCCATTCTTCCAAAATTCGATTTTTGTTTTCAAAAACTTTAAATAAATAACCCAACATTCCAAGTCTTATATAATGTTATATAAAGTATAAATTACATGACAAAATTAAAACAAATATGTCACTAACTGCGTGCAGTAAATTTTATTGCAATGTAAGGCAGTACTTTGAATTGCCGCCCATAGTGCTCATATTTCTATACAATTCCGATGTAAAATAATTATACGTTTACAGTGATACTATACTCTATAATTTTTTTTTCGTCCATAATATTTGGACCAATTTCAATTTATTTCTAATGGGCAATTGCCTATATATAAAACGCGATTTTCCCATCGTCATATTTTTGTACAATTGTCTTGCGATCACATCGTAATAAAAATTTAATACTCTCAATTTTACAACAATTACAATTTTTGTTATTAAGCAGTTGTACTATTCAGTACCTTGCAGAAGTATTTACACATACCTTAATTTTTTTAATATTATTAAGATTTATTAAGTACAGTATTAAATTATTAATTCGCACATTTCACATCATATTGTAAATTGCCGAATTTTCGGTGCTTTAAGCATTAATTATTTGATTGGTTCAATTTTCATATACAGAATATTTTTGTTTTAACAACCAGACACAAATGTTAATGTTTTCTGTAATATATTTTTTTATTCTGTAATGTTTAACTCACGTGGATTCGAAAGTAACGAATTATTTTTATTATTTTTTTGAGTTAGAAATTTGATGGAATATACAATAATTTAAAGTAATAATTTAACACTAAAATGACACACTTGTAACCTAATTTGAAAGGGAACTATGTTTAAGGGAAGTAAAACTTTCTTTCTATAAGATCTTATTACATATCTCCACAGAATATCTGTAATCTGAGTTAGGTGGAATATCCTGTTGGACATCGGTTCATCCTGTCAGATGATGCAAATCACGAAGTGTAACTGGAGGAGTTTTCCGATAAAAACTGGAAATTCCCACTCCTTAGTTTCAAGGAAACTGCCGTAGATGAAACTTTGCAATATGGATGGAACGACCGTAATTAACACCTGTCATAGAGAAGAGGATCGTAGACAAGAGGACAGCCCTAAGAAGATTTATCCCTAGAAGAAGCAGTCAGGTGTAGAAGTTCCATCTTGCTACCATCCAGCCCTCCTCATTCTCTCTATATATAGAAATCACAAATCAGAGGTATTGTTAAATAAACATATGTAAGCTCTCTCTGACTCAGAATTTACAGTTAAGTTGAGGTGAATCCCGTTTATTTCAGGGATAAAATATTTTGTTTCTTTTTTCATAGACTTTGTACTATTTTGTCTTTTATGTATTAAATGTTTTATGTTTGTAAATAACTCATTCAATTTATACAGACCCTGAGGGACGATGCAGGTAAGTCGAACTTACCCGCGACTTTCCTCCTCACTCGCATTTTTAGTCCCTCCTATATAGTGATCCACCAAGAGAGTGAGCAGAGCCTACCGATCTGACGAATAGAAGGCAATTCGCCTGTCGTATTCTTCCACACGCATTTGACACACCATTTATAAATGATTAAAATTTTCTTAAGTTTTAATCTATAGAATATAAAATATATTTTTCATTAACTGAATTTAACCTGCAGGCACACAGTATTATAAGATCGTTCGTTGTCTTGCATCATTGAGTAACTTAAACTATTTCCCATCCATTAAACTTAGCAATCTGACAGGAAGAAAGGTGGAACAAATGATGTAATGAAATATATGAGCTGTAAGAACACGAATATAGTAAGTAAGCCAAAAAAAATCGTTTTTAAGCACCGATACAACAAAATATACGAGGAAAAAATAAAAATAAAAATAAAAAATAAAAGCATATGGATAATAAGGAAAGTCAGAAAACGCATTTAAATGTGATGTATCATGTCACCATTGAAATTAGTGACTTCATTAAATAGTAATGTGCAACGTTAACATTTTTCATTGTATTACACGGTTGAAACTAACAGATATGGGAGAAGAGGAAAATAATCTTTAAAAACATGATATTCTTCTAAGATAGAAATGAAAAAAAGTTATCAAACATTTCAAAAGTTTTTTTAATCTTTATGCTAATTTTGTTGAGAATATTAATACTTAGGATTAAAATAAATCACTTTAACAACTTTTTCAATATGACTGCATTGTTGAAATACTTACAACGTAATTTTATGAATTATTATTTACTGCTATTCATTGGAACTTTTCATTCACCAGTTGTATAAACGTACAAGTATTAAGTTATAAAATTCCTAATTTCATTTTGAAATGCTAAGTAACGAATATTCATAATATGGTAAATGTTATTTAAGTTTTATACAAAACAGTTGTTCATCATTTTTAATTTTGAAATTTTCGCCTGTGTTATTGAAATAAGTTTTTGAATTTTATTGAAGAATTTTTAACTTAATAAATCAAATCGATATATCATACATACCAATGGGATTGTTATCTAGAAATGATATTGGAGTTCGAGTAATACAATGCAACATGTTTCTATGGAGCTTGATAGATGCTGTTGTAAAGAATTTGTATAACAATAATCCAGACAGTAATGAGGTTAGTACTACTGCACATATCCATCCAAAGTAAACATATATATTGAACGCTTCACTTTGATAGAAATTTGTTTCTTCATTATTGCTATATATTGTTGTGTCAGATGTTACATTTTTAAGTTTCTCTATGTCTTCGCTGTGAATTCTTGTATCTGTCAACCTGAAATTAAACACGAAATAACAATTTAATTTGCTTAATTTTTTAATACATCTTTATCGAAATAAATTATAACGAAATGCAATAAATGAAGCAGCTATCAACAAATAATATTCACGTTCTGTAGGAAGGTGTTGTACTTCTTTGTAAGTACAACACCTTCCTACTGTATTTATTTTCTTTGGTAGAGTAATAGACCAGGCCACAATCCTGGAGTAAAAGTCAATAATCTGCTAATTGTTTTATTGTTCTGTAAATAAAAATTACCTTCTTGGTAAGAAGATTGTCAAATGACAAATTAATTCTTTTATCGTAAATGTTTTTTTCTTTAAATAAGACAACTAATATTGACAGAAGCGATTTCTAAAATTTAATATTAATTTTTATTAATATAGTCACACAGTTTAAGAAATCGAAGACAGATTTCAATGTATATATCGCTGTAAATATAGAAAACATCAAAATTTGTAACTGATTGTTGAAACAAGGAATGAACTTTTTGAAACGATATGCGAAGTAAACTAATCAAGAAAATAATATGCGGACCACTGAAATTCAATCGATTAACGACATTACGTCTAATGTGCACATTAAAAGCTTTTAAAAATTTTTTAATAATATTTCAAATAATCCATAGTCAAATTGAGTAAACGATATTTTTATGTAATAAACGAAAATTTTAAACGTTAAAAAATTGGAATTATTTTTCATTATGCATTGCTCACAAGAATGTCAAATGATAACAAAAAGTGAAAAATCACGTGGTCAAAAATAAACACTCGCCGGATAAAATAGAACTGAAATTGGTATAGACAAGCAGTACGAGAAATATTATTATTGTTACAATATATTCTTTTTATGTTCCTATTTTACGAATTGCGCTAATTATATACAGTGCGTAAAAGTATAGCGCTTCAGCAATCCAAGAATATTTTACATAACAGAGTTGATTAAAAATGCTGGTATGTGTATTGTATTTTCTCTAAGTTAGAAAGGCATTGAATTTTTTATATTTTTGAAAATTTTACAAAATAAATCTACTTTTATAACAAAGGTATATGGCATTTAAAAGCGACAACACGATTAAAGTAAGTGACTTTAAATTATACAGATAAATTTAACACTTTCCATTTATAGATGAAATGAATGTACTTAAATTCTTTCAAAATAATTTATATTATTTTTTTAAAAATTTTATTTACTACTTTTTTAAATACAAAAGTTCAACAAAATTATATTGAAAGCGATAAAAAAATTTATTTATTCTAACACTTAACTGTGTTCATAATGAACTAAACTTGCTTATCTGCTGAAATGATTATCATTGTGTGTTGGTTTCTGTTAAAAAGTTTTTTTAAAAAAAGTAGTCATTGCATAAAACATTACATTGAATATGAGGAAACCGTACCATTTGATTAGCCAATAGTCGCTGCCACATATGATAGATTGTGATAGAACTAGCGTTACTAATATAGTAATTTTCATGAAGATGCCGGCTCCAGCATTTACGTATTCTTTATAAACTGATATTCCCACTGTTTCAAGTCTTTCGTCTTCATTTGGTATTTTGTTGTTTTCATTTACCTACGGGTGATAATTCGAAATAATAATTGAAGTTATTCGTTGAATTACACTTAAATCTGACACGTAATATTTTCTTATTACTTTTCGAATAAAAATGAAATGATAAATTATACATATAATGCTAAATTTAATATCAATTAATTCACACTGGTAAAAAAATATTATGTGTTGTAATGGATTTTATTTAAAAAAATGAAAAATTAAATAAATTATGATTTGAATACAACTGAACAATTTTAAACAGATTATATCACTATTTTTCTTATACACTTGCTTCTTTATGACTGAACATTCCCTTCGTTAAGTAGAAGAGTTTTCTGTTTATCAGTTAACCTATCACATGCAATAAAAATCAAAAGCAAATATAATGTATTATGTAAAATATGATTTTTTAATTATTTAACTTTATTACAGAAATAACTTTGTGTTAAAACTAAATTTATGTAATTTATGACTTAATATTATTAATATTTCATGCACTAAATAGTTGATAATAAAAAAGTTACGTTGTATAGCAAATATTAAACGAAAATTACAGATTGCTGACAAACTCTCAACGTTCACTGAATTGATAATAAAATTCTATTAAAATAGCGACTTCTGAAAACGAGTATTATTTTTGCTTAACACTAAAAATGACAGCTCTCTCATTAAGTTTTTAATGTTAATATAAATATGAGTAATTAAATATGACACAACGTAATGTTTATAAATTAGTTATTAATATTTATTTCTGTAGATGAGTAATTTAAAAATTTACAATATACAGGAAATAAAAAAATCAACCTGAAAGAAGAAAATTCAGCCATTCTACTCTGAAAATATTAACTTAGATAATTGTTTAATAAATTATTAATTCTTACTATGTTGTTACGATCTCCAATACCATCACAAATTTGAGATTGAGTACTTTCAATTATGTCTTCATTGTTGAAAATTGCTGTCTCTTCTTCCATGCTATTTTCAATAATTCTTTGATCTGACAAAATAACTGTAAGTATATTTCTATTCATCATTTCAGTGTAATTGCCAAAATATTCACATGTTCCCTGAAATACAATTATGATATATATAAGTGCATTTGCATGAAAATCTTTACTACACCAAAATAATAATAAACTTAAAAATGTATGCAAATAAGTGTTTGGCTTTGAAAATATACATTCTTTCCAATTTTAACCGAATTTACATATAAAACAAATCTAATTACTAGTGTTATATACAGAAAGTATTATAGAAAATAATCCCTATTGTGTATTTACAAGTGGCGTGCTGTCCATGGAAGCTGTGGAAATGCCGCATCCTTGTATTTTCTAAAATATAAATACATATTTTGCGATTATATTTTAACGTACTTTGAATTACTTAAAATTAGTATTTTATTATAACCGAATTATGTATTTTATTACAAATCTCTATACATATGAAAAACAATGATAAAATTGCTATGGTATATTCGAATATAAATTCGTATATGCATATTCCCAATGGAAGTGCAATATTGCCGAATACGCGATAGTTTCCACGGCGAAAAATATTTGAATGATGTAAAGCAGCAAAGTTATGCTCATTCGCGCATGCGCTATACAGAGCACTAACTTCATGCGGTTTGGCTCGTGGATGATACACACGAAAATATCGTATAACGCTTCCAATGATTAGGTTTGTTTATAATTTTTACAGAAACACAGCTTCCCTATGATCACATGTCACCGCACGCTATTGGTGTTTTTTAAAATACAAAGCAGAAAATATATAATATAATTGTTCTGAAACTCGAAAGTGTTCAAGTGGATAAATATCAGTAAATACTAATTTTCTGTGTTATTAACAGAGAGATAGAGTGGCCAAAGATTCAATCACGTATCTGATACTGGAACAAAGGCCATTCTCCAGAAAAGATAGTTTCTGAGATTTTTCGTTTTAGGTAGCTTTTATTTTGGAAAAATATATTAACTTATATCGCCCGTAAAGGATATATATACTGTTATGTTATGGCAGTATTTAGTTAATTCAATGAACTTCAGGTTTTCCGTGTTAGTCTGAACTTTATATTGTGAAAACCGTTACAATTCATGTGTTGTTAAAACGAAATATAATGTCATTTTTAATTTAAAAATACAATAAAATGCATAAATATATTAACATATTTACCTTATTTAATACTAAAATTTTACTCGCAGAGTTTAAAAATTGTATTTGATGCGTAACAAGAATACAAATCTTCTCTTTCAAGTATTCCATTATACATCTAAAATGAAGAAAAAGTTCAAATGTGATAAATTATACCAGAGGTTACCGAACTTTTTTCACAGCTGACCAGATAACTGAGAAAATGATGAACGCGTCTCGCACAATTATTTTGTTCAATATAGTACACCGAATACACAAAAGATAAAAACTTCATTGTAAGTACTAACAAAAAAACACTCTGATATCCAAAGTCGCAAAACAGTCGCTGAATTTTTCATTTCACTGATTTCCTACAAATCATATTACTGCCAAATGCTAAAATCAGATTGGATCAAATTTGGCACTTTTACTTACACTTATTTAAATTTTTTCTACATAGTAGTTTAATTCAATGATATATCCATATAAATAATTATATTTTAGCTCATTTGTGGCAAGTGCTACGACAGTCCAAATGAACTGACTTCACGAACTAGATCTGACCAACGGACCGTAGTTTGGTGACCTCTGAATTATACGAAAAATAAAACTTAAATCTTAAATATTTCAATTCAAACACAAATTATTTATCGTATTCATACACATACTTGGCAAATCACAGAAATAATTTGTGTTTGAATTGAATTAAATTACTGACACAGTTTCAAAAATACCAGACTTAAATATTTACTTTTCGAATATATGTTTTGCTACTGGAACATCAACAGCGCTTAATGGATCATCAAGGAGGAATATATCGGCATCTCTATATAGTGCTCTAGAAAAATTTGTGTTTGAATTGAATTAAATTACTGACACAGTTTCAAAAATACCAGACTTAAATATTTACTTTTCGAATATATGTTTTGCTACTGGAACATCAACAGCGCTTAATGGATCATCAAGGAGGAATATATCGGCATCTCTATATAGTGCTCTAGAAAATATAAACATATAATATTATAAGAAAAACAAATTTTGAAAAAAAACGCAAGAATTATTTTTTAAACATTAGATTAAAACTGTATTCATTTTTATAAAATTTGTGTAACAGTTAAATTATGTTTTTATGTTTACGCCTTCTTTTTACCGCTGTGAAAAATGCAATAATAATAAAATGTATATGTTGTAAAATTGGAAAACATTTATTGGTTGGAACAAAACGCAGATAAAACCATTCCTTTTCCGGTGCTAAATAAATGTTTCAGTGTGGTGTTATGTAAGATGACAAAGCGGATGTAAGTACTGTAAAATTATTTGATATGGGAAGAAATATTGTTCTTTTTTAACACAATACTTTTTAAAATTTTACAATATTTTCACTTTTGTTCCCCGCAGTGATCACAGAAATTAATCATGAAAACATTTTAAGCTATAAAAATATCATTCAGTAAAAGAAACAAAGTAATAAAGACGTATATATAAATCCAAAAGCTTTTCCTTTCACAGTCTCACAACAATTTCAAGGTGTTGGGTGTAAGCTCTTCTCTTAAAAAACAACTAAGGTAAATTTTATCGTCTTTGAAAATTTCAACTTAATAATGTGTCTTACTATCCTGAATTCCATTGTGCTGTGAGACACAACCAAAAATATTTTGGATTAAAGTGACTTTATATATATGTATAAAATATACATCATCAAAATCACGTTAAAAAGTAATAAATATTTTTGAGATTTAGATAATTCTTTAAAATTACGTAATCCTGCGTAATAGTCGTTATCTTAATTTGGGAATTTTTGAGAATGTTTGTTGTCTGTATGTAATTCTTCTTTAATAGCAATACATTTAAGCTTAACTCATATATTTTTTACAGTACATTCGCCATATAGCCATTAATATGTAATGCTAGTTTGCACTCAGAAAAATACATTAGAGTAAGGGCGTTATTACCTTGCTAAGTTAATTCTTGCCTTTTGTCCACCACTCATTATCACTCCTCTTTCTCCTACAATTGTCAGATCTCCTTTAGGAAATAAACTTATATCCTAAAAAAAATAAAAGTTTATTATAATTATCTTTTACGTAATAAGCGTTGACCATTATATTCGAACACAACATAACTTCATCATGTAATTTAATTAAACATTAGGAAACGTAAATCAATTGATATTTGATAACATAAAAAAAAACAATTTGGTTTTTCTCTTTTTCGTACTATAGCTTGCATCATTTGGCAATAAAGAATTAAAGAGTAATTTTTGTACTAAATTTAATAAATAAAAATTAATACGTAAGCCTCATGTGCGGATACACCACAAACGATATAAATTTTAAATCTAAATTGTAAAATTGCTTGCTTTAGAGCTAACATTTCCAATTAAATTATTTCATCATTTTCTAGCAAAATGTTTTTTAACTTTCCTTAACGAATCACTGATTTCATTTATAACTACTACATTTTATGTCAAAATTTTTCATTGCACAAAAAACCCACGTGTTCTAGAGTCAATTTAGCAATGTATTATGCAGGTAATATTAATTACTTATATATAAACAAAACTGTATAACATGTTGCGTTAATTTTTAGGCTTAACGAAAATATTCTTGCTTTTATTAACTTTGAATTATGAATTACATAAAACATCTGCACAATTTAACAAATATGTATGCAACAATTTCTTATGCAGAATAGTGTTACTGTGAAACTAATGTATTCTGGAATTAGAGAAATAATAATGGTGTTTCATACTGTCAAATTTAGTCTGTATAATTTTTTGAACAAAGTTTTATTATAACAACTGTGCAATTTTACATAAGCAGAATTGCTATAAAGCAGAAAAATATTTTATTTTGAAAAAATTTTATTATCCATTTTTAATGACATTACGATTATTACTAATACGATTATTACTATACATTGAAATCATAAATACGATTATTATTATTATTACATTATGTACTTATAACGCTTATAACGTTACTGCGTTATTGTTTATGATGTAAATGTATGTAATTTTTTTACACTAAAATATACAAAGCAGAAATATCATTTACAGTTTCTAACATCCCTAAACTGAAAAATCATAATCCTGTGCATTCTTCTATATTACTAACTAGCAAACCTCGCCACGCGTTGTTCTGGCTCAAAATGTATCTATTATAAATGTACAACGCTTCCCCCGTGGGGGGGGGAATTTTCGAAAAATCCCTTCTTAGTGTACATTCTCTCGACATACCCTATTAAAATGCAATCAAAAACACAAATACCCGCATTTAAAATAGTATAATACAAGCCAAGTTTTTCACGGTAAGCCTTAATCCTAACCATCTCCCTTCAGTGGGGGGAATTTCGACATGTATATTATATAAAAACACATGCGTATTCGAATGCAGCTTTGTGTCAAAATTTCAAAGGAATTAGTAGGAACAAACGAACATTACATTTTGATTTATATAGACAGATAGAAAATGATCTGCTTTAGTTAATCCTCACAGAAAAGCATAATACCTCACAGAAAAGCAAACTTAGGGCGTCATTCTCTTAGCGCCATCTGTTGGACATAAAAGTCTTAACCTAGATGATATGTTTTAATTTATATGAATGTTTAACGGAATAATATATCTATCTATGTCTACCCCGAAGTTCCATTCTAAATATTAATGAAAGAATTTTTGAAATCGGATGAGTAGTTTCGGAGATTACCTGCTACATCCAAACTTACTTACATACTTACTTACAAACATTACCTCTTTATATTATTAGTATAGATAAAATATAATATATTATGATTAATTTTCGAATTATGTTCGACCATATTGTAATTTCATCATAATGAAAATTTGTAAATAAGATCAAACATCTTTTCCTTTCCACTTGATATAACTAATGAAAAGTTTTCTTATAAGACGATAAAAGGAAATAGAATTACCTTTTCTAGAGCTGTTATATACAAAACTTTTCCATATTTATCTTCTTCGTATTCTTCACCAAACAAGATATTTTCTCTAATAGTTTCGTTGAATCCCCACGCTTCTTGAGAAGCATAAGCGATCTTTCCTTTCAATGACACATTACCAGTAGTTACAGGAATCTCTCCCAACATGGACATTAATAAAGACGTCTAAAAATATATAAATCGTATCATTAATTGGTTTGAAATATTTTTATGAATAACATAATCAGATAAGAATTTAGGTGTTAATATAACTATACAGTAGACCCCCTATAACGCGAGTGTGAGATAGCAAAAAGTCTTATATTTGAAATAATCTTTAATAATAACGTTTCGCGAATTACGCAACAATTGTTGTTCTTAGCTACCTGAGAAAGTCTCCCGTTACATTTTCTCGAAAGCAACATGACGCTTTCTCGTGAACTATTAACCTCTGCACGGCCGAAATCGTCCGTGAGTATCATCAGAGACGGCCGAAAAGAGTTAGTCGCTGCCTTAGTCCTCGGAGAGGAAAGCCGTCCCTTCAATTATCATCCATTAAGGAATCCGAATTAATCGCCATAGGATAAACTTGTCTGTGTGTGTGTGTGTGTGT